TCTGATCTGGGATGCTTTCATTGTGCACGTGAGGAAACTGAGGACTTTTGGAGTCCTTTATATTAGATCTCATTCTCCCAGACCCCTCACAGTGATCCACATTATTGACAACCTTCTCCTCAAAATCTTCCTTGGCCTCCTGGTTATTGTAGGCCTGCCTCTTATCTTGCCTCTCCAGTTACTCCAGTCTCCTGCGGCCCCTGAGCATGGTCCTTCTCCCAGGTTCTGCCCTTGGGGCTAGGCTCTTGCTCTTTATCTCCTCAAGCACTCATGCAGCTTCAACTCCAAGAGTGACATCCTGGCCAGTCCTAGGCCCTCATCTCTCCTGTGAGGACAGAGGTCCTAAGACATCCCACGGGCACCTCAAACTCAGCATTTCCAAACTTCAGCTCTCCATTTTCCTTACTCTGATGGCTTTTATTATGTACGGCCTATTTTTTTTTAATTTTATTTTATTTTTATTTATTTATTCATGAGAGACAGAGGGAGAGAGAGAGGGGGAGAAAGAGAGAGAGAGAAGCAGAGGGAGAAGCAGGCTCCCAAGGAGCAGGGAGCCCGATGCGGGACTCGATCCCAGGACCCTGGGATCATGACCTGAGCCAAAGGCAGACGCTTAACCATCTGAGCCACCCAGGCGCCCGGCCTATTTTTGACATCTTATATTCCCCTCCTTCAAGTTCAGTGATTTTCAGTGCCTGAAAATTCCCTATCCTTCAATCTCAAATTGAAGGCTTTCCAGGCCATATTCATTAATTCACACATTCAAATACTTTCTGAGCATATTAATATTCTCTGTGCCAGAGTTGGCTCCAAGTGCTAGAGGTTCCGTGGTGAAAAAGACAAACCTGGATCCTGCCTCTTAGGGGCTTATAACTGAATGGAGGAGACAGAAATTAACATAAGAAATTGCAGAAAAATAGCTATATAATTTCTACTAAAAAACAGTACAGGGCTGTGACAGTGCATGATGACGGGTCGGGGGATGTGGAGCAGAAGGGAGGTGGTGTAACTACACTGATCTGGAGGCCAGAGAAGGCCTGAACATGGGGAATAGGTGTGAAGTATAGCAGGAACGAGCTCAACTCCTCTTTCAGAATTCCAGGCCCGTAGTAGGCTGAGTAATGGCTCATCAAAGATGTCCACGTCCTCACCCTATAACGCATGAATATGTTATGTTACATGGCAAAGGAGATTAAGGTTGTAGTGGTATTAGGGTTGTTGGTCTCCCTTATAAAAGGGAGACTTTCCTGGATTATCTGGGTGGGATCAATATCCTTAAAGTGGAAGAGGGAGGAAATAAAAGAGTCAGAGAGAGATGTGATATCCTAAGCTGGGTCAAAGAGATGTTACGTTGCTGGCTTTGAGGATGGAGGAAGGGAGGCATAAACCAAGGAACGTGGGTAGTCTCTTGAAGCTGAAAAAGGCAAGAAAATGGATTCTCTTTTAGAACCGCTAGAAAGGAACCCAGCCCTGCTGACACCTTGATTTTAGCCCAGTGTGACTCCTGTTGGACTTCTGAAATCCAGAACAGTGAGAGAATAAATTTGTGTTATTTGGTAATTTGTTATGGCAGTTGTAGAAAATTATAATTATAGGCCTGAGCCCTGATATTTCCATTCCTAAATCCACTTCATTTATTTCCACCTCCGCTTGAACTCTATCTTTCCCTCATCTCTGCTCTCTGGATCTATCTTCTGGACCCTGCATTTTTGAGGACTCTAAGGGCACAGAGCTGTTCGATCAATTATAGGAACAGGCAAAGGCAGAAGAGCAAAAAGCAGGCCGGTGAGTACAAGGGCCCATGGCGAGCTCTAGCTCTGGACTCAGGCCTGCTGGAACCATTTACTTCCTGTGGGCATCTGAGCAAGGGAGCAAAGCGTTGGATTGTTTCTTCAGCTCAAACATGAAGACACAATAGGTCCCACCTCAAGGGCATAAAAGGCAATAACTGTATCATGCATTTATCATAGGAGATGATCTTTAGTGCTTATGTGCCATGAGGAGACCAGGTCCAAGGAATTATAGAAAAGTCACTGGAGGGTAATCAAGGGCAACGCCAAGCACCCAAGGCCAGGTGCCAGGGAAGGTGCTTCTTCCCCTTCCTGCCCCCTCCCCTTTCCTGCCTGGGTGGTGGCTCAGGGAGAAAGCCCCAGGGGAGAGGGAGATGGCTTGGCCAGCTGTGCTCAGATACACCCCGGCCCCAGGTCACAGAGGTCGGGCAGCTCCACCTTCTCCCTCCTTCGCCATCCCCTCCGCCTAGGGCTGCCCTTTGGTGGCCAGTCAGGCTGGTTTCGCCGGGAGCGGGGCGCACGTGGCGCGACGCCCCCTGCCTCCTGACGACAGAGCAGCGGGGGCCGTGCGGGGAGCTGGCCGGCGGCTCAGCCGCGGTGGGGGTTCTCACTTCCCCTCCCCAACGGCCGCGTGTGCAGGTGCCGCGGGCCGTGCCCCGCAGGCGGGGCGGGTCCTGTGGACACGCCCCCCCGGCCAGTACTCGCAGCCCGTCCGGAGGAAGCGCCACAGCCGCGGTTGGTGCTGCGCGGAGCCCGGCGCCGCTGCCGCCCCGCGCCCCGGGACGCCGCCGGGCTCGGCCCCGCGCACGCAGCGAGCGGGCAGGTGAGCTGCGCCCCGCGCCATGGCAGCCTCAGGTGCGTAGGCGGGCCCGGGCCCCTCTCCCGAGCCTCCCCGCTGGCGCGCCCTCTCGCCCACCGCAGCCGTCCGAGCGCTCGCCCGCTCCCGGCTCTGCGTCTTTCGCGCGGGATCTGTGCGCTTTCTGCTTTTTCCCGCTTTCCCGCTTCCCCGGCGCAAACCTCCCGCCCCTTTCCCACGCCCCCCTTCCCAGCCTGTCGCGCGATTCTCTTCTGCCCCCGCCTGCACCTCCCTTGTCCCTCGTCTTCTAAGTCTCCTTTCCTCTCTCCGACTGGCTCTAGTTGCTTCTGAGGGTCCTTTCCCCCGTTCTTCCAACTCTGTGAACCGGGGTCCCGTGGAAACAAGGCAGAGCGCCGACTTGTCGGCTTCTGGGAAGTGCTTCTCTTAGGGCCCCATTGGACCAATAGGGGGCGCTCAGGCAGTCCCGGGTGGGCGCCGGGTGATCGCGGGCGGCCCTTGGGCCACCTTCCCAAGCCCCCTTCCTCTACCCATCCTAGGTTTTGTTTTTCATCTGGAATTTAGATAGAAATCTAGGAACACCATTACGTTAGCTTTAGTTTTCTTACGTCTTTTGCAGAACTTTGGGGAGTGGGGAAAAGTGAAGGCCACTGGGTAATCTCCCCATCGAAAGGTACCAGGAGTCCTGGGTTCTTGATTTGTCTTGGGTTCTTCTCTGGTTCATGGGTGTGTACACTTGCCAAAGTTACTCACTCTCTGAGATCCAGGACAAACCACTTAATAATGATGGTAATAGAGACAATTAAGGAGCACTTACTATGCAGTATGATAGTTAATTGTGCACATACATGTGTTCTCAGTGGTGACCGGGACAACCTGGTCTCTGCTCTCAGGGAGTTTACAGTCTTGTGCAAGAAAGCAATAAGTAGGAGCGCCTGGGTGGCTCAGTCGTTAAGTGTCTGCCTTCGGCTCAGGTCATGATCCCAGCGTCCTGGGATCTAGCCCCGCATTAGGCTCCCTGCTCCGTGGGAAGCCTGCTTCTCCCTCTCCCACTCCCCCTGCTTGTGTTCCCTCTCTCGCTGTGTCTCTCTCTGTCAAATAAATAAAATCTTAAAAAAAAAAAAAGAATGCGATAAGTAAACAGGGAATTGCTAGGTGAGAAGATTAGAGTTACTGTATTTGCAAGTGGGTTTACTTGTATTTTCCTCACCCATTTTATGATGTTTTAATAGAGATAACATGTATAAACAGGATGTAAACGTCTCTTGAAAACTAAAATCTGGTCAGCCAGTAGAAGATACTGTTCTTGAAGGATGTGGGCAGATGCTAGAATGAAGAGCCAGCTGTCCCCATATCCCCTGAGGTCTAGCCTCCTAACGGTGCCTTGGAAGCTGGGTCGGTGTGTGGGGGTTGGGGGTGGTTGGGGTGAGGGGTGCGGGATGGGGGGTGGAGAAGGTCAATGGTAAGAGTTCTATTAGATTTGGTAATACAGGCTCATTCTTTAAAGGGAATGGGAAAGTAGCTAGTTTTAGCCTTGTGGCTCTCAAGTGGGGCTCTGGAGGTTAGAAGAAGCTGTATTGTGGTAGGAGTAGGCTTATAGTCCACACGTTCCGTTCAAAAGCTGAAGCAGAGTTATGTAGAGGAAATTCATTCATTCAGCAAATATTTATTGCATGCCTCCTGTTTCTGGGCACTGTTCTAGGTGTCAGGTGTATATTCAGCAATCAAAACAGACATAAGCTACTTACCCATGGAGTTTGTGGAATATGGGGGAGGGCAGGCAATATGCTTGATAAAGAAATTCATGATATGATAAGTACATTAGGAAAGCAGTAGAAGGGGTAGAGGGGGTTGGGTTTACAATTTTATTTTTTAAAGATTTTATTTGTTTATTTTTACGCGAGAGAGCACAAGCAGGAGTCGAGGGGAGGGGCAGAGGGAGAAGCAGACTCCCCGCTGAGCAGGGAGCCCGATGCGGGACTCGATCCCAGGACCCTGGGATCATGACCTGAGCCGAAGGCAGACGCTTAACTGACTGAGCCCCCCCGGGCGCCCTGGGTTTATAATTTTAAAGGAGGTGGCCAGATTAGGCCTCCTGGAGAAAGGGGCATTTGAGTGAAGATCAGAAAGGTCATGTGGGGGGAACAGTGCTCCATTCAGAGGAACAGTAAATGGGTGTATATGGTATATTTAAGGATCAGGGAGAGGGGGTGGAGTAGGTGGGTGATTGGGGGGAAGTAGGAGATGAGGTTGGTGAAGCTCCCACCTCTTTCCATGGCTGAGAACAGGCCTGGGCTGTTAAGTGCAAGAAACAGCAAACGGGGAGAGCCTTTGGACAGAGGAGAAAGAGAAAACCACCCTCGTCTAGTGTCCTGTGTGTATGACTCCAGTAGGGCATGGCGGAAGGGGCTAGAAGAGTGTGCTCCCATTCAGATGGGGACTCGAGCGCAGTGGCCAAACCTGGGGCTATTTATGGGCTCTGTAGTGGCTTCTGCCAATGTCTGTAATGGTTAGGGCTGTCGCACCCTTCTGCTGTTAGCATGCGCTGTGGCGAGACACCGCTTTAGGTCCTGCAAGCGGGAGCTGGGCCTCTGAGGTCCCCGAGGCTCTCTGAGGTCTGGAGGTGCAAGGACCCATGGTGGCAAAAAAAAAAAAAAAGGACCCATGGTGGCAGTGAGAATACCTCTTGATAAGATATGAGAGGGTGTGGAGTCACCTAGGCCATCCTTCCATGTGATCTTCTGCTTCTCCACTTCTTCCTCCCTCTTCCTCCCTTCCCCCTCCTTTTTCTTATTTTAAACAGTTTTATTCAGATATAATTCACATACCATACACTTTGCCCACTTAAAGTATACAGTTAAAAACAAAAACAAGAACAAAGTATACATTCATTGTTTTTTTAGTATCTTCACAGATAGGTGCAGACCCCACCATGGTCCATTTTAGAACATTTTCATTACCTCAAAAAGAAACTCATTTTGAGAAATGAGTAAAGGGGGTATACATTTATGAAATAGAAATTTCTTTAAAAAAAAGAGAAAGAAACTGTATGCTTTGGCTATCACCCTCTTATTAGGACTCCTGCCCGGTCCTAAATTTTACGTCTGTGTCTGTAGATTTCCCTACTCAGGACTTCCATATGAATGGGATCATATAGTATGTGGTCTTGGGTGTTTTCTTTCACATAACATAGTGTTTTCAAGGTTTACCTAAGTTGTAGTATATGTCAGCACTTCATTCCTTTTTAAGGCTAAATTATGTGGTCTTTTAAAATTTCCTTCTGCTGAAGGATAAGCATTCAGATTTTATTTTTTTGAAAGACATCTTTGCTTATTGAAATCAAGGAGAATCTTGGTTCCCTGTTTTTGGGAAAGAGTGTGGGAAGCAAGATAAAATGAAATGGAATCAGCCTATCCTGGAATATTCTCTAGGTTCCTGATGGTATCTCTTGCATTTATACATGAGAGGGAGGAGACAAAGAAACCATAAGTGACTTCCCCAAGTGATTTCGTCTAGGGCTGGGTGAACCACCACAATCCTTTCCTCCATGTGTCAGCCTTCAGATCTTTGAAGAAAGCTTGCATACCTTTTCTTGCCCTTTTTCTCCAAGGTTTCTCTTATCTCCAGATTTTCTACCATCCCTAGACTTAGAGGATAATAGGGTTTGAAGGTACATTTAATGTTTTGTGATCTGAGCTCCCATCTGATTCTTGAGGTCCCTAAATACTCCTGTCAAGTTTCTAAACTTGAAACCTTCAGAGTCTGGAAGTCCTAATGTGAGTCATTACTAGACCCTTCCCTATCCTAGTCACCTTCCCCTAGTGCACCTCCCTCTTCAGTAGGGTGCTCAGGGCAGATGGATGGGGAACCAGAGTCACCTGCAGACTAAAGAAATGGTCTGGGCTGGGGGTGGTTTGAAAAGCTGCCTGCCACTTCCTCCCTATTCTTTTCTCAGATGGATTCTGAATCTTTTTAAGGAAGCTCTTTTTCAGTCACTGTCTTTCTTAACCACCACTGTCACTCCCTGTTGCCACCAGCGGCCCCCCCCCCCCGCTGTTACCCATTGCTTTCTCCTATAGCCCAGTCTGTTCTTTAAGCTCTACGAGGACAAAGGCCCATTCTCATTTCTGTTTAGGATTTATGGATGCCTGTTGGTTCATGGATTTCATTTTTCTTTTTCAAAAGATTCATTTATTTATTTGAGAGAGAGAACGAGAGAGAGCATGAGCAGGGCGTAGGGGCAGAGGGAGAAGGAGAAGCAGATTCTCCGCTGAGCAGGGAGCCAGACTTGGGGCTCCATCTCAGGACCCTGGGATCATGACCTGAGCGGAAGGCAGTTGCTTAACGGACTGAGCCACCCAGGTGCCTGCGTGGATTTCATTTTTCTTTTCTTTTCTTTTTTTTAAACATTTTAAAAATTTAAATTCAATTAATTAACATATAATGTATTATTGGTTTCAGAGGTACAGGTCTGTGATTCATCGGTCTTATATAATACCCAGTGCTCACTACATCACGTGTCCTCCTTAATGTCCATCACCCACATACCCCCTGCGCCACCCCCCTCCCCTCCAGCAACCCTCAGTTTGTTTCCTATAGTTAAGTTTGTCTGTCTCTCTGGTTTTGTCTTGTTTTATTTTTTCCTCTCTTCCCCTATGATCCTCTGTTTTGTTTCTTAAATTCCAGATATCAGTGAGATCATAGATTTCATTTTTCTTAATAAACAAACTGGGAGAATTGATTTGGCACATGTGAGGAAATGACCTACAGTTACAGGCAGGGATTTATTGTTAACAAAAGGGAGGTCCCCACATGAGAGGGTTGCTGACAAAGTGTTTGGTCCTGTGTTGTTATTCAGCATATCATGGAGGAACTTTAACTTCCACTTTGGAACTTTTTTTAGAATTTCCCCAGCTTTCAGTTTCAGCAGTGGAGCAAAATTCAAGAAGGTGATAGATTTCATTCTCATTTACACTGAGGCAAAATTTGCTTAGACTTAGTATACTGGTCTCAAGTCACACCACAAGTGGGTGACCAAGTAGGTTGTCATATTAATGAGTCTTGAGGCACTAACCACTTCGTTTTCAAGTACTTTTGCTCAAAGGAGTTGGGGGGCGGGTGTCAAATTTAACACCAGAACCCCAGGAATGAGACGTTTTCAATGTTTTCCATACAGAAGAGGCTAACCCTTTAAGTGTTTTTTTAATTTAAATTGTATTTTAAAGTTTTTATTTTAGAAGGTTTAGATTTATTAAAAAATTGAAGATATTAGAGTTCTCATATGTTCCACACCCAGTTTCCCTCATTATTAATAATTTGCACTCTCTTTGATGACTAGAGGTCTTTAATGCCCAGCAGATATTGCGTGGTGCTGTTACCAGAGGAACAGGTCGTGTTGAGGCAGGATCCAGTGTGAAATGAATACTTACTCCCTCAGTGACCCCGGAACTTGTCATTTAAAATTGTTGGTTTGCTTTGCTTTGAGTCACTGTCTCCTCATAAAAGTGGCGTACATCTCTCATGGCCACATGTCAGGGCATTCTAAAGTTGCTGCTCTCCTGCTAAGTCTGTCATTGTTGCAAGATCTGAGTAGCTTTCTTAAGAGTACTTATTATGCTCTCGGAAATACTCTTCTCTCTTCCTTATTTCTTTACCATCTATTTTTTTTTTAAAGATTTTATTTATTCATTTGTGAGAGAGACAGAGAACAAGCAGGGGGAGAGGCAGAGGGAGAGGGAGAAGCAGACTCCCTGCTGAGCAAGGAGCCCGATGCGGGACTCGATCCCAGGACCCTGGGATCATGACCTGAGCCGAAGGCAGATGCTTAACCATCTGAGCCACCCAGGCGCCCTCTTTACCATCTATTGAAAACATCCCCAATGGCTTCATCACTAATGTGTGGGACCACAACCAGCCTTCTCTGAGATCTTATTCTCCTTCTAGCCCATTTGTAAAAATTGTTGACATGATATTTGGTAGTATATTTGTCAGTATAGGTAGGGAGTGTTAGTGGCTATTGCTTTTTATTTTTGCACTTTTAACTGAATTCTGAGCACAGATTGCTAACGTTACACCCTTACTATTATAATGCACTATAAAGTCTTGTACATTGCCTACCTGGTGGACCAAGCTCATGCACACTCATGTGCCTTAACACTTTACATTTAGAAGAACATTCACCTCTGAGGATAAACCAACTATGTAGAAAAGAGGGGCAGAAAGAAGGTAAACATTATTCTGATGCCTTAACTCTCCTTTTCTCAGTATGAGCTCCATAGTTGTGTTGCTTGGCCAATCTTATTCCTTCCATAGTCCTGAAATTATTTCTCCATTGAAGTACAAAGAACTGTTACACGGCGGGGCGGGGTTGGGGGGGAAGATCAGCAAAGATTTTATTTTAAGGAAGCCTGCAACACTGTCTTCCATACATTAAAATTTTGCCTTTAATCTGCTTAAACTTTGGGGACAGTGTAAGCAGCCTAAAATGGACTGTTTTATTCACAGTTGAGGAACTAGACCATGCTCAGAACTGAGTTTTCTGCAGAGCCACAAAGGTCCATGGTGTCGTCAGAATTGCTGACTGCCTCCCCTCTACCCCATATTACCTTCTAAAATGGATTTCTTTTAAAATTTGCACACCTCCCCTTCTAAAGTACTCCCTGGCTGATCAATGTGCTCCTACTGAGAGCCTGTTGTGTTTCATGTTAGCCCTGGATTAGGGCTCCAGCAAAACAGAGACTCCAAAAAGAAACTCCAAACTTTATTTGCTATTTTTAAAAATTTGGTAATATTATCCCTGGGGAAATCAGAACTGTGTTGGGTTTACATATTATATGTCATTGTTTTTACTTTGAATATGGTGGAAGATGGAATAGGAAGGGGGAGTCCTTCCATGATGTTTTCAGAGTTTATAGCCTCAGGTCTTGACCCCCAGTCCTGCCTCCAACCTTTTTGCCGGGAACTAGTCAGTGAAATGTGGTCCAGGGGTGGTGTTTAATTGTGACAATCCACAACTTTCATGATTCCTAAACTTCACCAGACTTGAGCAGCTTCCTTCTCTGAGTGGGAGGAAGGATCCCTATTGTATTATGATGTGTGGAGACTCCTCTGCGCTCACCCCTTCCAAGGCACGAAGGACAGTTTGTTGAGCTGGTGGGAGATGAAGCCTCCTCTAACAGTAGTAACAGGTGTGTTAAGAGCCAAGCTTCTTTGAACTTTGATAATTGGAAGATATGCTTTATTACTTGTAAGATTCTTGACTGAATCCCTGATGAGAGGCAGCAGGTGGACTGGTGGGGGCACTGGACAGGAGACCAGGGGACAAGCCTGTGGTTCAGTCCCAGCTTAGTGACTAGTTTGCTGAGTGTGAATTTGAGTCCCTTCATCTTCCCAGATGAAATGTTTCTTTTATCTGTAAATGAGGAGTTTGGGCCAAGTGATCCCCCAAAGCTCTTTTTAACTCACTGCTTCTCTGAGGCCTTGGACTCTGTTTCTGGCACTTATGCTTTATGAGAGGAAGAAGAAAGCCTATGTCCCAGCACAGGTGAGGTGAGGGACACCCTGCCAATGGTATTATGGAGATCAAAGCATTAAGTCACCCACAGCTGCTGCTAACGTTCATGCATTGTTTCTCTTACTGTGCAGATGAGGACACCGGCTCCAATTATTGAGAGCTTACCACATGCCAGGCGCTGTGCTTAGCACTTCATATGAAATATCTAATTTTTTTAACAGTTTTTTTCTAAAGATTTTATTTATTCATTCATGAGAGACAGAGGGGGGGAGAGAGAGAGAGAGAGAGAGAAGCAGAGGGAGAAGCAGGCTCTCAAGGAGCAGGGAGCCCGATGCGAGACTCGATCCCAGGACCCTGGGATCATGACCTGAGCTGAAGGCAGACGCTTAACCATCTGAGCCACCCAGGCGCCCCTGAAATATCTAATTTAATCCTCACAAAACACTGATAAATATTGCCATTATATTTCCATTTCCCGATGAGTAAACTGAGGTTTAGAATATTTAAGTGACTTGCCTAGGGTTACGCAGCTAATAATTCACAGAGCCAGGATGCTAACTCTGGCCGCCTGATTCCATACCTGTGCTTATAATCACTGTATTTGGGAAAGAGCCAGGTTCTGGGGCCAAACTGTCTTGAGTTCAAATTCTGACTCTGTCACCACGGGTAAATTATGTACCTGCCACACCTCCGTCTTCTCGTCTTTCAAACGGGGCTAATAGTATTCTCTACCTTATAAGGTCGCTGTGACGATTAAATGGGCTTACTAGGCAGTGCGCTTGGAAGAGCATCTGGAACATAGGAAGCTCTGTATAAGGTGCTTGCTGTTGCTGTCATCATCACCATCTTACGCGGCATCAGCTGTGGGTGGAAGAGCATGCCAGCAGAAGTGACAGCTTATGTAAAGTTCTGAAATGTCATGGCATCTTGGGGCAGAGACGGGGAGACAGGTATGGCTGGAACACAGCCTGGAAGCAGGGGAAGGGTTTGACAGCTCTGTCAAGATGGGGGGGGTGCCAGGACCCCCATCTGGTTGGTTTGTAGTGCAGGTCGTGTGAGCCCCAGAAAGAGCAGGTGTTTTGTTTTTTGGTTTTTTTTTAAGATTTTTTATTTATTTATTTGAGAGAGAGAGCACGCATGAGAAGGGGGAGGGTCAGAGGGAGAAGCAGACTCCCTGCTGAGCAGGGAGCCTGATGCGGTACTCGATCCTGGGACTCCAGGATCATGACCTGAGCCGAAGGCAGTTGCTTAACCAACTGAGCCACCCAGGCGCCAGAAAGAGCAGGTGTGTTAACATGCTTCTTCTCCACCTCGTTCTTGCTCAGGGCCGGTTGGAAGATGCGACATCCTCATCGTCTACAGCCCGGATGCCGAGGAGTGGTGCCAGTACCTCCAGGAACTCTTTCTGTCCAGTCGGCAGGTGCGGAGCCAGAAGACGCTGACTTACAGGCTGAGCCCTGACGCCTCCTTCTCGGCCAAGGACCTGAACTTCTTCCTGAGCTCCCGCTGCGTCATCGTGCTGCTGTCCGCCGAGCTGGTGCAGTGCTTCTGCCAGCCGGCCCTGCTGCCCCTGCTGCAGAGAGCCTTCCACCCTCCCCACCGCGTGGTGCGGTTGCTCTGCGGGGTGCAGGATGGCCCGGAGTTCCTGGACTACTTTCCGGACTGGGCGCATTGGCAGGAGCTCACCTGTGACGACGAGCCCGAGACCTACGTGGCAGTGGTGAAGAAGGCCATTTCCGAAGGTAAGGGTGTCTTCTCAAGGAAAGATAAGCAAGCCCTAAAAAAAAAAAGACTCATCCAGGCCGCAAGCGTTTCAGGTGAGGCAGCTTTCCTGCCTGTGAGCTGCTTCTGTTTTATCATCAGGGCCCTTAAAATTTTTGTGGAGGGCGCCTGGGTGGCTTAGTTGTTTAAGCAACTGCCTTCGGCTCAGGTCATGATCCTGGAGTCCTGGGATCGAGTCCCACATCGGGCTCCCTGCTCAGCGGGGAGTCTGCTTCTCCCTCTGACCCTCTTCCCTCTCGTGCTCTCTCTCTCATTCTCTCTCTCTCTCAAATAAATAAATAAAATCTTAAAAAAAAAAAATTTTTGTGGAAAAATGTGTCACTTTGGACAACATGTTTATAGAGAAATACCCTTCTTCTCTATTTCCCACTAGCTGAGCTTCTGTCTTTTGCCGGGTTTCTCCTTTTAAAGTGGGAAGATTCTGGTCCCCTCTGCCAGGGCTCCTGACTTCAGTGGCCCCAGGAAGTGTGACATGCACTCTGATGAACAGTAGCGGAAGATGCATTCTGGGATGGAGGCATGTCACAGCTCTTCTTCCTCTTTTGCTTTCTATTTTTGCCTCACTGTGGGCTATGAGTGGGCTCTGCGTTTATCACTGTTCTCTTACCATTTGAGATCTTACATACCTGATGCCAGCCAAGAAACCTGGACAGTTATGGGTTGATTTAATGGTGCTCAATTATCCCTGGGCTGGGACTCGGGCCTTAATGTGGCTCATCCACCCCATCTCATCTGATGAACTGAATCAAGAATTCACTAATTCCCACTGAGCTTAAAAAGCTGATATAGCTTCCTCGATTCTTTTATCCAGCAATAGGCTGCTCTAAACCAATAAATATGACCAGATTTCTTATAACATAGTGGGATCCTGGCTAATTTGTGATATAAATGACTAGTGTTAATATAAAAGATGTGTCACCTGGATAAGAGATTCTTCTAGGGTTTGCTTTTCTTTACTTCAGAACACAATGATAGAAAAAGCACATAATCTGATCCTGCATGATTGCTCTTCATTGCTTTGAGGGAGTTTTGATCTGCCTAAACTTACAAAGAACTGAAACATGAGTAGTTATTTCTGTGGATGGGCTTATGTCCCTGCTGTGGTCCATTATGATCTCATGGGCAGGCCCCTGTGACCTACCAGCCTGTCATTCAGGGCTCCATGGATATATTGTCACTGTGCTGTCATCTTACGCTGCATGATCTGACAGATTGTTCTTTAAAATATTCCAGTGGTGTTATTTTTAAAAAAATTTTTTTAATTAACATATAATGTATTATTTGTTTCAGGGGTACAGGTCTGTGATTCCAGTGGTGTTATTAAAAAAAAATACATGATAGAAGGGATTCTTTTAGTATTGTTTCAATGAACCCCGTGTTTAGATGCCTGGGTAAATCGATCAATAATCATTTACTTTTTACTAAGGACTCTGGCTCCATATGCTATGAGCCTTTAGCTTCAAGGGTTTCCAAAAGAATGAAGTGTTTCACGGTGGTGTTTCTGTTCTGAGAACAAATAACCTGTCATCAGAAAGAGATTATTTTAATGGGAGATTAAAATAAGCTTCTTAGTGGAAACTCTGCAGTTCAGAATCAATGGATAGGTAGGGACAAATGGAGTTCTAGGAAAGAGAAGGAAGAAGGATGGCTTATGGCGCCAATATAACTTTCTTATCTGGTGTTAGACTTGTGGACTTTGGGACTTGAGGGGTCTGTGTGAGCCGGGATGGCTTAGGTTTGCTTTTCAGGTACCCATAGCCATTGGCCTTGGTCGGCCCAGTAATGTGGTGCTGTATCTCCGGTTTGTATGCTGGGCAAGCTTCCTTAACAAACTCCAGACTCAGAGTCTGGCAGTATGCCAAACAGAGCATTGACCAGGGGTAGGGACACTCCATGGCACTAACTAAGTGCCTGGTATTGGGCAAGTCACTTATCCTCTTTGGGTTTCCATTTCCTTCTCTGTAAAAGGCCAGAATAAGACTTGATCTAAGACACTTTCCAGGGTTGATAACCTATGATTCCCCAAGGCCAGAGAGTCTTAGACATTTCTGAAGCATCACCTTCTTTTCACCATTTCATACCTGCTTTGACTCCCAGGAAGCTTAGGGTTAAAACAACGTTTAAGAACAGTACTATCCCAAGCTAGGTTTTTGATAGGATTATACCTTTAGTTATATTCTCTATAACTTGTGATAATTTATCTTAATACTTCTCTTGTACACATGAGGTTTTCCTAAGGTGCCTCAAATAAAAGCAAAAAATAAAATTTTCATACACCCCACTACTACAACATGCCCTACTCTCATTGAAATAAATACATAAATACATGAGACTTGTATCTTTGACTTTCTGTGTTAAGAAAGAGAATCCCAGTGGGAAATGTAATGGAAAATTGATAATAGGGTTGAATTAATGGTAGGAACAATAATTATGGGGTTACTGATTGTAGGGTTGTTGAAAGTTATAGGGAGACAAATTTCAGGAAACCTTTCTAACAGAGCGTGCAAAGATGGAACGGATTCCCTTTGGAGGTGGTGAGTCACAACCCTGGAAATATGTGAGTGGAGACTGTTGATGTGGCCTAAAGGGATTCAGCTTTGGAGCTGTGGCTGGACCGTGTGACCTTCACAGCCTCTTGACCATAAAATTCCCTTATGTTAAATTCCTCTTTTCCACCAGGAACACATTTCTTCTTCTTTTTTTTTTTTTTAAGATTTTATTTATTTATTTGGTTGGGGGGGGTGGCGCAGAGAGAGAAGGAGAGAGAGAATCCCAAGCAGACTCCGCACTGAGCGCAGAGCCTGACAGGGGGCTCGATCCCACGACCCTGAGATCATGACCTGAGCTGAAATCAAGAGTCAAACACTTAACAGACTAAGCCACCCAGCCAGGCGCCCCAGGAACACATTTCTATTGTGAATCTAGTCTTCCTCCTTCACCAGGTCTCCCTGGGGTTTCTAACTGTCCCCTGAAGAAATATTGGTCATGTTCCTACTATGACCTCAGCAGAAAGTAGCAGGAAAAAAAGACCTCAAGTTGTAATCTATGTAATCCTTAAAAATGGTAAAGTTCCCAGCATATTTGTATATATGTATTTTTTCTTAACATTGAGGTACCTTTTGCAAAAACATGACTACTTGATAAGATATTCACCGAGACCATTTGAAATTTAGGCTAAATTTTAGAACATTTAAAACTTAAAATAAAGCTTAAAGATCAAAAGCTTTAGAGAGCAGAGCTGGTAATAAGGTAATTATTCCAGAAACTTAAAGTAAATGGGGTTATAGGTAGTCAATTATACTTCTTTTGCTGCTACATTATCTAAATAAGCGATTCTCAAACTTTCCTATGTTCAGGAGGACATGGGGATCTTGTCGGTATGCACATTCTCACTCCGTAGATCTGGGTGGGGCCCAAGATTCAGCATTTCTTTCTTTTTTTATTTTATTTTATTTATTTATTTGAGAGAGGGAGAGAGTGTGAGAGAGAGATCATGAGCTGGGAGAGGGGCAGAGGGAGAAGCAGACTTCCCGCTGAACAGGGAGCCCAGTGCGGGACTCGATCCCAGGATTCTGGGATCATGACCTGAGCTGAAGACAGACGCTTAACTGACTGAGTCACCCAGGCGCCCAAGATTCCACATTTCTAACAAGTTCCTGGGTGATGCTGATGCTGCTGATCAAGGGTCCATTGAGTATGTGAGCAAGGGTCTCAGCCCCCCTTCCTTTGCCAGGTCAGGGGTCATGTCCCCCTGTAGCATGTGGACCGTTTTCTCCAATCTCCACTTTCCTAGAAGTAGAGGCACTATCACATCAGGTGACTCCTGGATACCTGTCAGTTTAGGTATAAAATTAGGCCAGTGTTTGGTGCTTCGGCCAACAGACTTCAGGGCTGGGTTCCTGAGTTCTCTTCCCTGCCCCTACTCACAGATTCGATGTGTAAGCTCTGGCAACTTTTAATCTCAGTTTTCCAGAAGTAAATGGTTCTGACATTAGAGTAGGGTTATACTTCCATCACAATCCTTACTGCTTCTTCATTTGATAATGAATTACTCTTCCACTAAAAAGTGTTTTGGAGGTTTTATTTCCCACCCCCTCTCCAAATTTGTCAGCTACCTTAAAATTGAGCAGATGTTTTAATTAGAGTCTTTAGTGTGTTGGAGCAGGCAGCTTGCTTCCCAAGATCTTCATCTGTAAAATGATGGGGTTGGACCACATGATTTGGAAGTTTTCTTCCAACCCCCAGCACTGTAATATATCATTATAAGTTTTCCAAGAAGATGGAAGAACACTTGAATTGATTCTGTTTAGTTCCAAAATGTCTACAGTGATATATACCCAGTGCATAGAACACTGTACTATTGTTCTGGGTTTTTTTTTTTTTAATTTGTTGGGTGATTATTTTAAAATAAGGAAGTGAGAAAAACCCAGGTACAACATAGAAATTATTTCCTCTTTTTACTGGAGCTGTATTCTTTGCTGCAAATCTCCCTGGAATACAAAAATAGATTGTTAGTGTGTGTGGGAAAGGACGTGTTAGGTGATGCTGAGTTTTATTTCCAAAGTTCTCATCATTTTGTGTGTGTGTGTGTGTGTGTGTGTGCGCGCGTAGGGGGAAGGGAAGCATTAAACCTAATTCTTCTACTATTATTCATATTACACTGGAGAGCTCACCTGCTTTTTTTTTTTTTTTAAGATTTTTTATTTATTTATTTGACAGAGACACAGTGAGAGAGGGAACACAAGCAGGGGGAGTGGGAGAGGGAGAAGCAGGCTTCCTGCAGAGCAGGGAGCCCAATGAGGGGCTAGATCCCAGGACCCTGGGATCATGACCTGAGCCGAAGGCAGACGCCCAACTGACTGAGCCACCCAGGCGCCCCTCACCTGCTTCTTGATATGCACTGTTTTCCCTTTGCCTCCCCTTATCCTTTCCCATGCTCCTTGTACTTCAGAAGTTCCGA